TCATCCCTCTCCATGGACTCCTTTCCACTGGCCTAGGTAGAAGGATCTCAGTCTGAGGCTAGCCCTGGGCAAAAAGTGTATAATTCTAGTGGAAAATAACCAAAGCAAAAAGGGCTGCAAACATGGCTCAAATGATAGTGTGTGCTTAGCAAGTGCCAGGCCCTGAGTTCAAACTCCAGCACTGCAAAAACAAACAAAATCCTGGTCATTAAGAAACACATATGAAAGTGCTATACACTTTTTAAGTGCTATAATGATTGTAACTCACGTTCCTGTTTCTTTGTAAATTTAGAATTAGCTTTCAAATTGAAAACAGCCTCAGCTTTGGAGTTAAACAACATGGTTTCAAATGTTAGCTCCATTATTTATTATCTATGAGACTTTGAACTAATTAGTAAACCTCTCTGAAAGTGTTTTGCCCACCGTCAATACACCTATTTTTAAAGATTTATTTGTTGGTGGGACTGGGGTTTGAACTCAACGTTTCAAACTTGCCAAGAAGATGCTCTACTGCTTGAGCCGCACCTCTAGTCCATTTTGCTCTGGTTATTTTGGAGATGGAGTCTCAACCATGACCCTCCCAATCTCAGTCTCCCGAGTAGCTAGATTACAGGTGTGAGCTACTGGTACCCCACTAAGATCTATTTTATATGACTGTATGGAAATTAAATACTAAAATATGAAAAGTTATCTTAAGATTACTACAGAGGTAGTCTCATTCATGGTAAGGGAGAAATTGCAACTCTGACATAGATCAGAAGTACCCAACCCTCTCCAAGGGCATGTGCTGGGGATATGCACTTTTTAATCTGCACCCTGTCATATTTCGCATGGACCGGTTACTGGCAGCTGACCCTTCCCTGAGCCTAACTGCCTGCAGCTCCACCCCTGGCAACCAGCTGCACTGTCCACAGGGCAGTCTCACACTGAGGAAATTCCACTCCAACTGCAAGGGCCCCTACAAACATGGCTGCCACTGGAGCCCAAATCCTCCCACAGGAGGCCTGCTCCAGTCACAACCGCTCCAGGCAACCCCTACCAGCTTAGGAAGACTCCATTCTGGACAAGACAAACCCCTGAACTCTAGAAGACCCTGATACTCTCACTCAGGAGGAGAGGGGAAAGCCCCTCCCTGAGACTCAGCAAAAAACCTGATTGGTGCCAGGCATGCTTGTAATTGGCCCATCAGCAAGGCTTGTGACTGACGGAACTGGAGGCCAAGCACACGTAGGACTGTGATCGGTGGTACAATCCCAGCACTGACGTACCTCGCCCTTATCCAGCTGCATAAGAAGGCCCTGGTGTTAGGCCATTTGGCCCCCGAAGGGCCTCACTGGCTACTTGTGTCTTTATCACAGCAGAGCAGGCAAGACTCCAGTGCTTCCACTGCAGCATCATGAGGGCCACACCACCAAGAGGGTAGCTGGTGAGGAGCAGAGAGAGCAGAGGATAGGACTCAAGACAAGGACTGCAGCCCTGGGACCAGTGCCAGGTTCTACAAGTTCTCGAGCTGCCAAAGGCAGAGCTGAGGGTCCCAACGCCTGAAGCTTGGGAACTGAGACAGTAGCTGCTGCGAAGGGCCAGGGTCCTCATGGCCAAAGCTCAGGGCTGCCACCCTGGCTGCTGGCACTTGCAGTCCTAAGTCTCTGGCTTTGGCAGGTAAAGAGCCATAAGCGCACGTTTTCAAGCCTGCAGCTCCAGGTCCCGGGTCCGTAAGCGCAGACCCACACCACCAGGAACTCGGGCTGACACTACACAAGGGAGCTGCTCCCGGCCTCGCCACCCATCGAGCGACAGCAAAGCAGCCGGCACCTGGCTTTTTGTGGCATCTTTCTCTCCATATTATGGATTTTGGGATGACAGGGAAAAAAAAGGCTATATACATATATATTCTCATTTTAAGCTTAAAGATGTTATTCCCGTTCTCAAAAGTTTATTTAAAACAGGACTACAGTGTATGATGAGTAACTAAATATGGATTACATTTTGGTGTGTTTCATGACTTACCATACTATTTACATTTAATTAAATTTCTCTCAGCCATATTATTAAGTTTATTACTGAAGACTGCCCAGACCTAATAAAGACAATAAACACCAATATTGCACAGCACCTCACAATATAAAAAGTGATTTCACAGTCTCAGCAGACTTTAAGTCCTTTGAATTACACAGTATTTCCATTTCTAAGTAGGAAAAACAAGGCTCAAAGTGACTCATCTAACACAACAGGACAGGAACCAAGGTCTCTTTACAATTCCCCCATGCTCATGCTACCATGTAAGTCTGTAATAAACTAGTCCTGGAATAGCAATTTAACACGTTACTCTACTCAGCTACATAGCATATGTCTATAAAACATACAAGTTTTCAGAAAGAGAGACAAATTTTCCTTCTCAGGAGCAACAAGACTTGAGACACTGACAATGGACTAACTCGGGAACATTTTTGCTAGACAGCTTTTTCGATTGATAAACTTGGTAAGACCAAGAAAAATATAAACATAAATCTTTAAACCAGTTGTAAATGACTTAAAACATTTCATAGAGATGACATAGCTGAAGCTGGGCATGGTGGGGTGTGTCTGTTAATCCCAATACCTGGGAGGTTGAGGCAGGAGGATTTCAAGTTCAAGGTCAGCCTGGGCAACACCGTGACTTTGAGATTAGTCTGGACTACATGTGAGACCCTGTCTGAAACAAACAAAAATGTATCTTAACTTTCACATTTGTATTTTGTATAAAACTTAGTGTTTTTTTTTTTTCCCGTGTTTTTATAAAATGCTAAGTAAAAGCATAACACAGGGCTATGATTTTAGCTCAGGGGTAGAGCACTTTCCAGGAATGTGCAAGGTCTTGGGTTCCATCCTCAACACCCCACCCCCTTTCAAAAAAAGTGATAGGAGGGAGGTGAAGGGGTAAGGGAGAGTAATCCAAGGGATTGAACAGAGCAAAGTAAAACACCCCACAGAGGGCATACACGGAGACACCCCTTTGAACATCAACTTAAATATTAGTAAGAAAATCAGGACTGAAAAATAGTGTGCCCGCAGGAGGGGTACTAGTTGGAAAGAGGACGGTGAAGGAAGGAGATTAAGGTGAGGGTATGGTTGATGGACTTCAAATATCTACAAGAAACAGAACTAAATAATCTCTTGCAATTGCTTTAGTGGGATGGGGAAGGGGCTGAGGGGGAGAGACAAGGGGGGGGCGATGAAAATAATGTACAATATAAGTCCAATCGCAATTGTCATTATGAACCCCCCCATAATGAATATTTCCCAACAAAAAATTATTTTTTTTTCTTTTTTTATTTTTTTTTCATTTTTCTTTTATTATTCATATGTGCATACAAGGCTTGGTTTATTTCTCCCCCCTGCCCCCACCCCCTCCCTTACCACCCACTCCACCCCCTCCCGCTACCCCCTCAATACCCAGCAGAAACTATTTTGCCCTTATTCTAATTTTGTTGTAGAGAGAGTATAAGTAATAATAGGAAGGAACAAGGGGTTTTGCTGGTTGAGATAAGGGTAGCTATACAGGGCATTGACTCACATTGATTTCCTGTGCGTGGGTAAAAGTGGTAAACTGTAAGGTCCCTTGAAAATCACCAAGTTTAAAAACATTTCAAACAAGCCTGTTGCCATCCAATTTATTAGGAACAAAGACTGGCCAGGCACCCCTGGTGCCGGACGCCTGTAATCCTAGAGATCCGGAGGATCAAGGTACGAGGCCAGCCCGGGAAACAATTACCAAGACCGCAGACTGGAGCTGTGGCTGAAGCCAGAGAGCACCTGCTCCTCGAGCGCGAAGGCCCAAGTTCAAATCCCAATCCCACCAAAGAGCAAATCTGACCAACGTGCCCAGCGTTGAGCGGCAACTCTAAACACCCCAGCATTCACAATTAGCCGCTCCTACCACGTGGCAGCGAGCTCGAGTTCACCCTAACTTTTGGGAAGTAGCACTATCTCTGCAGGGCCCGGCGACGCCCTCGGAAGCCGCCCAGACCACGTGGCCACGGCGGCCCCGCACTCCCGGCGGCCATCGGAGCGAGGTTCGAGTCCCAGAAAGGACCCGGGAGCCCGGGGCTCGGCCACGCCTTGTCAGACCCTCCGTGGCGACACAGGGCTCTGCTCCCCACATCCCCACTCCGCACGAGCCTCTCACGTCCACTCCCGGCCCGGACAGCCAAAGAACAGCACAAGGCGTTCTTTTACTGATGTCGGGCGCTTCTTTGTCCCCAGACGCGAGCAAGACAGGATTTCGAGCTCCCCGCGGTCCCGCAGGGCCGACATGAGCCACCCTGGCCTTCCCGGGTCTGGCGCCCGGCCCGGGAGCAACTGCGTGCTCGCCCGACTCCGGCCCTCGGAGAAGGGACGGGATCCTGGGGCGCGGGCCGGGACGGCGGGAGGCGGAAACTGCTGGCGGTGAGGCCGGGCGGTTCCCGCCGACGTGGGCGGGGGAAGGGCAGCAGCGACACCGGAAGTCAGTCTAGGAGGGAGGAAGGGAGGGTAGAACCTGGGGGACCGAGACTTCCGGTGGCGCAAAGCGTGTCGGGAGCGGCTTCCCGCAAACCTCCTTCTCCGGCCTCCGGAGGGACCGCCGGTACCGCTGCCTCGGCTTTCACGACCTGCGTTCGGCCAGACGGCCGCCAGTGCGGCTTTGCCCGTGCTTGGCTCTGTCCATATCCGTTCCCAGGCGGCCGTCGGGGTTCTGGCGGCGGCCGACATGTTGTGAGGCGGCAGCGCGGGTGTGTGAAAGGATGGTTTGGCCGAGGCGGCGGCAAGGACTGCTGGCGGCGGCGGTGGGGGCTCCGGCTCAGTAGAGCCGAGCCCGTGGGGTGCCCGCCCGGTACCGCGGCGAGGCCCGGCCGTGGACCTTGCCCCGGCCCCGCTGAGGTCCGGTTAGACGTCAGCGCCCGCCCTCGGGGGACGTGGAGGTGGCTCCCACCACTCACGTTCCCCGAGTTCCCGGGTCCCCAACGCCCTCGGACGCCCCGAGTCTCAGGCCTCGCCGTTCCCGCCCTCGGGAGCCCGCCCCCTCCTACCCGTGCACCCCGCAGCCCCGGGCCGCCCGGGGACCGGTCGCTGGCGTCTTCGGGTCGCGAGGCGCGATGGCCTCCTCGTCGGGCAACGACGACGACCTGACGATCCCCAGGGCGGCTATCAACAAGATGATCAAAGAGACTCTGCCCAACGTGCGCGTGGCCAACGACGCGCGGGAGCTGGTGGTGAACTGCTGCACCGAGTTCATCCACCTCGTGTCCTCGGAGGCCAACGAGATCTGCAACAAGTCGGAGAAGAAGACCATCTCCCCGGAGCACGTCATCCAGGGTAGGTGGGGCCTCAGTGGGGTCCCCGGGGAGGGACCCATCGCCTTCTCACCGCTGACCCCAGAGGTGGCCGTCTGTGTCTCGGTGATGGGCACCTGACCCGCATGCGCAAGGCCCTGGGTTCGATTCCTTGGGGGCGGACTCGCGTAAGGCGCGCGTGCTCATCGGAAAGTTGATCCCGTCAAGGAAGGGGAGTTTGTCACCTGCTCTGTGGTCTGATGGTGGAATGCTCATCCGCAGGCCACCGGACAACTCCTGTCGTCTTCTGAAAGAGGGAAGTAGGGGCTGCAGGTGCGGTGAGGTGATAGGGCGCCTGCCTAGCAAGTGAAGCACCCGAGTCCAAGCTCCAGAACCGCCATAAATAAGTGTTTTCCTTTAAAATTAAAAAAAAAGTGATGTTGCTTGCCTTGTTCGTTAGAGGTATGTTTTAAAGGCTTGGATTGGAAGGTTATATAAAAGCTGACTTTCTTTCTTTGAGACAGGATCTCACTATGTAGGCTAGGCTGATCCAACTCTTAATAATTCTGCCTCAGCCTTTGAGTGCTGGGATTACAGGCGGGTACCGTCACACCCTGCTAAAATATTTTTTTAAAGGGAACATTTTCCTATCCCTTCCTGCTGCCGTCCCATTGGATATATGTATACACTTAAGCTTTTATTGAAAGCACTTGCAAAAGTTTCAGAACTTCTGCCTTATCTTGGGAGGGATTTAGTCCAGCGGTATGGATTTGGAAGACTGTTGTGATGGTTTCTGGGAGGGGCGACATAACGACTAGCTGCAGTGTCTTGGGAAGCACTTTCTGTGACTTTTCTTTTACATGTACTCTTAGGAAGTTGTATTCAGTTTTATGTGATAACTTGTCTTTTGTAATAAATTAAAATTGCAACCATTTGATTGTTTTTGAAGTCAGAAAAAAGTTGTTTAATCGTACCTGTGCTAGTTCTCTGCCATTGCCTGTTGTAGTTTCACTTTCTAAAAGTTTGACTTTGCTGTGACTGTCAAGTGGAGAACACATCTGCTCATATTGATCATACCCACCTCTTCACTGTCAGTGTTCACAGAGGGTTAAGTGATTCACTTTGGATTCTTTATGACATCCTGAAGGTGGGTTTAAAATACCCCCTGCTAGGCCCAACGACAGCTGCAGAGAGCTTGCCCACTCCTGAGGGCCCTGGGTTCAGTGGGCATGTACACATACCTGCATCTCTGCATACAGCTGCGCGAGTCTTTTTGTGTGTACATGTGTACACCTGTGTACTCTGCCATTTCATTCCAATGAGGACGTGTACTCAATCTGCCATTTCATCAAATAGTAGAAAAACTGCGTATTTGGTTCTTTTTTTTTGGTGGGAGGTGGGACTGGGGCTTGAGCTCTAGGCTTGCAAAGCAAGCACTCTACTGCTGGAGCCACTCCTCCAGTCCAGTATATTTGATTCTTTTGGTGGGTGGCATTAGGGTTATATAGCCCAGTCCCATGTTCCTGCCTCAGCCTCCCAGTGCTGGAATTGTAGGCACTGTCACACCCTGCGGCATGTTTGATTCTGAAAGCTAGAAAATGAAAAACAAGCTGTCCACTTTTCTTCTTTTGCGTTTTTATTTTTACATTGTATGTGTGATTGCTGTCATAAGTCTTTCAAACGATTATCCAACACAGACAGATGTAATTTCCTTTTACAACTCTTAGAAAAAGAACCTTTTGTCAACATTACCTTTTTAATGAAAGCTGCTAAAGATTTCAACAGAATCTGCCTAAAATGTTTGTTTACACTATGGTAGTGGGGACTGTTCCAAAAGTCTCATAACACATTACAGTCTGTCTTCTTGGGGGAGAGTTTATTCTTTTCTAGGATATATTTAGATTTCTGATTGACAAGATGGAATAAAAGTGCAGCTGTAGCAAGCAGGGTTTATGCTAACTTCAGGCTAATGTATGAGTCACAAAGTTAGCAAAAGAGCATTTGCCTTTGTGCAATGAGGATCTATTAAATTTTGAGGGGGGGGTACTAGGGCTCGAACTCAGGGTCTCATGCTTGTTAGGCAGGTGCTCCCCAACTTAAGCCACTCTGCCAGCCCCAGATCTCTTAATTTTTAAAGAATCATTTATTGGGCTGGGGTTGTAGCTCACAGTGGTAGAGTGCCTGCTTAGAAGGTCCAGACCCTGAGTTCAAACTCCAGTAGCACAAAAAAATTATTTATTGACCTGTTGCAATCATACATTTACCTGTTTTTTTCTTGTAACTTTGCTGCTGTTAGGGGAAAGAATCCGTAAAATGTGCTCCAGTTGGGGAAGTAAACTTTACACTTTTATGATTTAATTTAAAGAAGTTTGAGGAGGCTGGTGGAGTGGTTTAAGTTGTAGACCACCTGCCTATCAAGCATGAGGCCCTGAGTTCAATCCCGAGTACTGCCCAAAAAAGAAAGCAATTTAAAAAGAAAAAAAGAACTTAGGTGAATGTAAATGGGATAAAAGTTTATAAATGGACTTAAAAGTTTTGAGGGATTAAAGATTTTTTTTGTTTTTTGTTTTTTTTGGCAGTGCTAGGGTTTGAACTCAGGGCCTCACACTCGCTAAGCAGGCAGTCTTACTGCTTGAGCCACTCTGCCAGCCCCTGGTTTTTAAAGAAATGCTTTTCTGTCAGTGTTGGTTATTTAGGAATGTAGGATTTATCCATGTGGAATGATAAGTACATTTATGTTTTATTAAATCACATTTTTCTCATATGCTGAACCTTGGGTTTTTTTAAGGCTTTGCTTCAGTCCATTTTACTTCTTCAGTTGCTACCTGGCTTTACTTTGTTAAAACAAATTAAGTAGTTCTGTAAAATGCAGATTAAGATTGAAATAATTTTGTCACCAGTAAACATATGAAACATCAAAACTTAGCTTAAAACAATCTTTCTTTGTGTTTTGGTTGTTTTGAGTTTAAGAAAGTAGACTTGGAATTGAAGTTACAGACACACAGATAAAGGGAGTTTCAAGGGGTTGAAGGTGTTTTTTTTTTCATTCCTATTTCTGCCCCCCCACCCCCACCCCTTACTGGAGTTTGAACTCAGGGACACTCCACCAGCCCTTGTGTGTGTGTGTGTGTGATGGGTTTTTTCGAGATAGGGTCTCTCAAACTATTTCCCTGGGCTGGCTTTCAACCAAGAGCCTCCTGATCTCTGCCTCCTGAGTAGCTAGGGTTACAGGCATGAGCCACTGGCCACTGGCTTATTCCTGTTTTTTATTTCATTCCTGTTTAATGTAAACACATATTCTTCAATAAATGCTAACATGTTCTGTTGCATTATGAAAAGAACAGACATTGAAAATCAAGTGCTGTAAGTTCAGTACTGGAAATTCTCTGGCCTTAGGCAGATCTGTTAGCAGACTTCCCCGTTTACATATGAATAATGCTTATTTCAAGTAGACCTTGCAAGTGTTGAGAATCAGTCGGGGCTTGAGAACCTTACGTGAAATATGCTGCAATAAATACTAATTCTAAAAATTAAAACATAAAGCTGAAGGTTATGTTTAACATTACATCACGATGCCTTTACAAAACCCCAATTAAATAATGTTTGAAATGATACTGGCTAATCTCTTGCTACTTTTTTTTTCACATTTATGAGAAGAGCAACTGAAAGTAGTGAAAGTTTGAAAAAGTCACTGAAAATTTGCTGATTCAGTCAGTGAATTGCTCCATGCTGTCTGTGTTAAGGACTTTTTTTCTTAATTCAAGCCCCTCCTATGTTGGTGCTTTTGAAAAATATAATAAAAAGGGATCTCTGGAAAAGCAGTGAAAAAATAGAACAGTAAAATTTTTTTCAGTAGATTCAGTGGACATAAAATTACTGTCAAGTTGTCATAAAAGTCCTTGAATACTTTGAGTTTGCATTCTTACCTCATCACAACAACCATTACATCTTACCAGCAACAACCATTACAAACACAGCTGGTACAGGTCCATGGGCCACACATTGAGTAGCTTTGCTGTAAAGCCAAAACCACAATCTAGTTTGGAAAGTAGATGTGAAATGGTTTTGAAATCAGAGGAACTGAGTGATTGCAGATGAGTTATAATAATAGTGAGAATGACATTTTGTGTTGCCTCAATTGTCAGTTATACAAATTTTTTTTTTTGGTGGCACTGGGGTTTGAACTCAGGCCTAGTACTTGCTAGGCAGGAGCTCTAGCACTTGAGCCACAACCTCCAGCCCTTTTTTGCTTTAGTTATTTTTCCAGTAGGGTTTCCTGTTTTTGTGCAGAGCTGACAAAATCCACCTACCTGTGGCTTCCTGGGTAGCTGGGACCATAGGCCTTCACCCACCCCCTGGATTGTTGATTGAGGTGGGTCTCACTTTGCCCAGACTAGCCTTGAACCTGCATCCTTCTGATCTCTGCTTCCCGAATAGCTGGGGTTACAAATACAAGCCATTGTGCCTGGCTTGCTTGTCTTTAAATCGTGTTTTTCCAGGAGTATGGTACATGCTGGGGCTGGAACCCAGGGCCTAACACACTAGGCAAATGTTCTGTCATTGAGTTACATCCTCTGCCCAAACTTTTTGTTTTGTTTTTTTCCCCTCCTGTCACCCGACAGTTACTTGCTAAGTGTTGCCATTGTGGTGGGTCCTAGTAGGATATAAAGACTTGGCTTCTTCCCTGCCATTAACCTCTTTTTGCTGACCTGTAAAGGTACTACACATCACATATTTTATTTTGAAATTAAAAAAAAATTTTTTTGAGACACGCTACTCCTAGTAGCCTATTGGCTTCAAACTCTTCCATCTTCCTGCCTCAGCCTCCCAAGTGCTGGGATTACAGGTGTGCACCATCACAACCTAAACTGGTATATTGGATGAAAGAAAAAACTTACCTGTTCTTTCATGTGTTATCAGCCTACTTTTTCTCAGCCAAATGACACAAGCTGTTATTAACAAATATATTCCAGATAGTTGCCTTTTCTGAATTCTTTAAGATAGCAACTTACTATAAGCAGTACAGTAAACTTTTGGGGGGTAGGGGGTAGCACTGGGGTTTGAATTCAGGGCTTCACACTTGCTAGGCAGGTGCTCTACCACTTGAGCCACTCTGCCAGCCCTGTTTTGTGTTGGGTATTTCTGAGATAGGGTCTTTTTGAACTATTTGCCTGGGCTGGCTTTGAACCATGATCCTTCTGAATAGCTAGTGGCATGAGCCACTGGCATCTGGCTAAGATATTTTTCTTACTAAACCAGGTATTATCACATTACACTTTTTTTTTTTTAAATCATTATTATTATGTTTGTTTTGTTTTAATGGAACTGGGGTTTTGAACTCACTCAGGGCCTTTCATGCTTGCTAGGCAGGCACCCTCCCACTTGAGCCATACCTCCAGTTCTGCACACTTTTTAAATCCTCACACAAAATGCTATGGTCTTTTACAAATTAGAAAAAAGAAGGAAAAATGAATGCACGAGCCTTGAAATGTTGCATACGTTTTAACGTATTTACAATCTAATATTAACAAAGTTGGTAAAAATATTCACCTCAGTCACCCAGACGATTGCTATGCAACTATAAAATAGGTGAAATTATTAGAAAGCAGCACTCCACACCCACCAAGGGGGGAACCCCATAAAACTTCAGGTTCCATAGTCAGGGAAGCTGTATTTTATTACCTTTCGTGTCTTCATTTCTCTAGCACTAGAAAGTTTGGGCTTTGGCTCTTACATCAGTGAAGTAAAAGAAGTCTTACAAGAATGCAAGACAGTAGCGTTAAAAAGAAGAAAGGCAAGTTCTCGTTTGGAAAACCTTGGCATTCCTGAAGAAGAGTTGTTGAGACAGCAACAGGAGTTATTTGCAAAAGTAAGTGATGGCATTTTCAAGTATACATCTGAAATCTGCTGTTTGCTAACAAATCACACTGGTTTCTGAAATCACTTCCTAAGTCAATGTACATGTCGGGGACTTTGGGTAATTGCATGATTACTAGTAGTGTCTGATACTTAGACTCTGGTTGTGTGACATTAACAACTGCAGAGGCCTGTGTTCTAAAGAGAGCAGCTCCAGGTAACTGCTGAGATTCTACTTTGACCATTTAAAAGAATGAAAAGTATTCCTAAAGTCCGTAAGCTTTGAAGTGATGTTCTAGTGAGAAAACACTGGCTTGGAGCTGTGGCATAAGCGGCAGAACCCCTGCCTTGAAAGTGTGAAGCCCTGAGTTCAAACCCCAATCCCATGAAAGAAAAAGAGAGAGAAAGAGAAAAAAAAAATGCTATTAGCAGATTTCACGAGGAGTGGTGTACAAGGAAAATGTGATTAACATACACTTTGTAGTTAAATTGGGTCTTACTATATCTTTTAAAACATTCTAGTCGTAAAAAATTTTAGAGGCTAGTAGAGCAGAGAAAGGGAGAAAATTTTTCTTTTTTCTAATACCTAGTCTGTGAAGGATTAGCATCAAGTACTAATATCCTTATGTTTTGTTTTTTTGTTTTTAAATGAGAGAAGTTAGCAAGGCCATTTGTTCTTGATTCGTTCTGTTTGTTGGAGACCAGGTCTTGCTATGTAGCCAGTCTGGCTTCAAACCCCAGGTCTTCCTTCCTCAGTATCTTGAGTGCTAGGATTATAGGCTACCACACCTGGCTTTTTTTTTCTTTTTTCCCTTACTAAGTTCTAGCCTCTCATTTAAAATTGGAAGAGTTTTATTTAGATTGAATAGAAGTGAGGTTTTGTACAAGGTACTGTAGTAACCATTAGAACTGAGAAGTATCATTTTAGATAAACTTCCATATTAACTCCATAGCTCTTGTTCTGCAGCCAGAACAGTCAGTTTGTTTTACTTGACAAAGCATTTGAGTTGGGGGCATGGTGGACTACCTGACTGGCAAATTGAGGCCCTGTCTTCAAACCCCACTGCCATTTCAAGTGTTTTTGTTTGTTTGTTTTTTGTTTTTTTGGTGCTAGTGGGGCTTGAACTCAGGGATACACACTCACTCGTCAGGAGCTCTACCACTTGAGCTACTCCACCAACCACCCCTCCCATTGCCATTTCAAAACAAAACATTAGAAAAAAATCAACCCTAATATCATCAAAAAAAAAAAAAACATTTGAATCTTTCTGTTTTGTTTTTTGAGACATGGTCTTGCTACTGTATAGCCCAAACTGGTGTAGAACTTAGTCCTCCTGCCTCCACCCAGCAAGTGCTAGGATTATAGTATAGGTATATTGTACCACACCCCAGGAGCACTTCTTTACCATGGCTTCATCAGTTTGTCCTGTAGCAGAAACTGAATCCAGTTCACATTTTCCCTAATACTTAAAGAGCCAGCCTGAGCCTGTGCCCTCTCCTTAGGGGTGTGGATCCCAACTTAGGGCTCCTCCTAGAAATGCAGGTGCATTAGTGTCAGCTGATTCATGCCTCCTCAGAGGTCTGAGTTTCAGATCTGTGTACTTTACTTGTTCCTCTAAACTTACAAGTTTTTAATTTCTACTTTTTTCCCTTGTCCTTGGTGGCTGCTCTCTGTAATTGCCATTCTGTAATGTCTTGCCTTTTCTGTTGCCTCTTACAACAACTTTACACTTGGTTAACAGTCCTTTACATTCAGTTCTTTCTGTCTCCTGGCAACACTCATGCTGGAGGAGAAAGCAGTATTTCAGTTTGATTTCAAGGTGGAAATCAGGATCTTTCAGGTAGAATGAGTGTCAGCAAGAGTAAAGATAACAGGATGAGAAGTACATCATACATTCGGGAAATGTTTTACATTCTGATTTCTTCTGAAGCAGTAGGGTAGGGAATTGTGATAGGAAAGTAAGTGAACAATGTCTGGGTAGTTATTCCATTTACATGCAGTACTTTTCCCTAAGACTTAGGGCTACTGTACTAGAGAACTTGTAAGCCACAGAAACACCTGTATATTGAAAATGTTTACATCAAGATTGTGACTTGAGGGGACAGAAGAAAGGAGAAAAGAATCACAGGGACAGGAAGCAAAGAGAGACTGCTGTGATTTCCCCGTCAGCCTTTGCAGTTTCTTTAACTGAGCTAAAAGGTTGTGGGGTTCTTGCTTTCCAGATGTACCACAATTATATAGTAGTGTGAAAAGACCCAAGTTTAATAATGACTAAGTCTGTCATTGGCTTAACTTGTATTTAACCAAAGTGTATTGATTGTGGGCTCAAACAGTTGTTATTTGTGTCTATGTTTTGACATTCAGGCCAGACAGCAGCAAGCAGAATTGGCCCAACAGGAGTGGCTTCAAATGCAGCAGGCCGCCCAACAGGCCCAGCTGGCAGCCGCCTCAGCCAGCGCGTCCAATCAAGCGGGGTCTTCCCAAGATGAGGAAGATGATGACGATATCTGAACCCACCAGCCGAGTTCTGTTTCCTCTATACATGTTTCCTTGCACAAGAAAAGTGAAAAAATGCTTATCTGTAATTTTGTATGCATCTTGGTGGACTTGCCATTGGTATTCTAGGGTCTGCTGTTGAGTTTCATATATTGTGTGCTATATATGTAAAGATTGTCTCTTTGAACTATTGAAAATTTAAGGTTCAGTATAATATCAATTTTGAATTTTTAATGGTGTTTATGAAATTTTGGATAGCAGTGAGCCCTTTATTTGATCAATAAACAGTGTTACAGAAAACTTCAAGTTTATAAAAATACAGTGAAATTTATACAGAAGCTCTTAATCTGCATTTGCATTTCCTTTGCCCTTTTAACAAAACTAAAATTGGGAATTTTAAATTAGGTGGGGTGGGGTGTGATGCAGAATACATTGGATCAGGTTGGTGAAAAAAAAAGAGTTCAGTTCTATAGTATCTGAATTTTTTTTGTCTTTTAAAATGAGTATATATACATATGTATACAGGCAATAAATATATATGCTCAGATAAACAGACTTGTCTAGAGAAACCTCAAAAAGACATTCAAAAACGTGGAAGAGTGTGTTTGATAGTAGTTAAATTTTTTTGAGTTACGTTTTTTATTTTGTTTTTGTTTTGTGTGGAGGTAAAAATTAGTTTTATTATGATGTAATTTATCTGGAGCTACACTATTACATTTCAAAGACTGCCCGGTTTTGAGGACTGCCATGATCCTTACTGTTCACTCCAGTTTGGGAATCGTTCAGAGTATTACTTGCTTGTTAATCCGTGCTTATATTCCTCATGTCTATAGTGAGACTTGGGGAATGATTGCTGAGGTTCCATTGGTTTAACTGAGATGAACATTGAAACCTTTGCTAGCTAAAGAAAGAAAGCAAAGGAGCATGCTTGCTTTGGAAAAGGGCTTTTTAGAGTTGAACTTGTAGTTTACTTAGTTTTGTTTTTAGCATTACCTTTACATTTTCTTGACTAGATAGCCTACAGTGCAGTGCTGCCTTCTGACCTGGCACCATTGTTTCCTTCATCATTTAGACAGCTTTAACAGAAGTTTGCTTTTGTTTAAGAAAGTATGTCAGCTGACCGGCCCTATGTAGAGTATAAGTAGTTTCATTAAAAGGGAGAAGTTTTAATTTGGTTTCAGTAGATAAAAGTTTGGTTGTGATTGTTGCAGGAATCCGTTGGATTGGAGAAACGGCACAGTGTTTGTATTTTGGAGGCAGAAAGGAAAAGTCACTTAAGATAATACGAAGTAATTAAATTCCTGTCAATTGCCAAGTCATTTGAATTTCTGTAGTCACCAAGCCCAAATATAGACTCTAGGTGCCAGGACTCCAATTGTAATTGGAGAGCTAAGTAAGTGAAGTTTCTAAGTATTAGACTTCTTAATGATCACACTTTTCAGTCTTAGAAAAGACATTTATCAAATACACTTCCCCCATATAGCCAGAAGGTTAATAGTTTTGCTGAATGCTTCAAGTTGAAATTACTTCACGTTACTTCCTGGATATCATATCCATGAAGTATGTTTGGACAAGATAGAAGGCATTGTTTTTTAAAAAGTTTTAAGTACCAAAGGTAGTGTAGTCTAGAGAAAGAGTAAGTTAGTAAGTGTTGCTTTTCTGATTGCACTGTAACACCCTCGTACTTCCTCAAGTACACAGCCGTAGGCATTTTTCTTTCTGATGCAGACTTCAGGTTGGTTAATAATTTCCTGCATCTGATAATGTACTATATGTTTAAAGCCTAGTGAATTTTCATTTGATATTCTTGTGATTTCATATGCTGTATTCTTCAAGCAATAAAATTCTGATGTGTTTTATAAATTGTTTTTATATTGATTATCTATAGGGAGATTCTTATCACCATTTTTACTACTTTTGAGAATGTTAAAGCCAAAAGACATTTTGGTCATTTGGTATGTATTACTGTCATTCTCCTTTGTTTACTATTATTTCAGAAAATGTGGTTTTACTTGTGTGTTTGTAATTTATAGTCCTAGGATCAAGGCATAGCAAGGCTAATTATCTTCAGCATTTAAAAGTCATCATTGTATGTTACCAGTCATCAACACTTTTTAGTCTTTTGAAGAAAGAAACAAAATCTTTAGAGTTATTGACAAAGAGTTTTTACTTACTAAATATTTTCCCCCTCTTGAATATGTGTGTATCTTACCTGGCAGATTATAAACTCGATGTGTCTAAGAAGCACCAGTTTTTAAAACTGTATAAACTATACATAACAAGAGTGCACAAGTAAGGGTTTGACCAAATTAAACACCCTTATTGCCAGCCCTCAAATCAAAACACAGCATTATGAGTACCCCAAAGTCCTTCTTCCCCTATTTTAACACTGTCTTCTCCCCAGAAATAATTCCTGCCCTGACTAAAAACTGTAAATTAGTTTTGCCTGTTTTTATGTCATGTAAATGCAGCCATATATAAATGCTTTGTTCACTTACCATTTTTGTGAATGTCACCTGTGACAAATATCTATTCTAGCGACTTAAAACAGTAAAGATTTATTCTCGTAATTGTAGAGGTCCAAAGTCCAAGTCAGTTTCATTAGGCCAAAATGGAGGTCTGAGAAGGATTGATTCCTTCTAAAGGTAGTGAGGGAAGAATGTCAGCCTCTAATGACGGCCTGTACTCTGAGCTCATGGTCCCTTCCTTCCTCCACGTTCCAGGCCTGCTTTCATTACTCCATCATCATTTATGGCCCCCTCCAGATACTCAGGTAATACCCCAGTCTCCAGATGCTTCACTTAATCACATGTACAATGTTTGCCCTATAAAGTGATATTCACAAGTTCTAAGAACTAGGACTTGTACATGGCTAGAGGCCCTTATTCTACCTACCGAAGTGAAATTGACCCAGACTGTTGCATGTCGTCCTTTCCTACTCATTGCCATAAGTGCTCCGTTTGTCCATTTTTTTATCATCCAAAATTTGTTGTCCGTTCTAGCACTAATAGGAACTTGAATTCCTGGTTCTAGGACGTTACAGACTGCTGTGGAAAGTACACACGTCTCTTGGTGAGTGTGTGTGCACATTTCTGCTGAGTATATACCTAAGGAATGGAATTGCTGGTTGTGGGTTATACACACTGTCAATTTTAGTAAGTACTGTCAAATAGTTTTCCCAAGTGTTTGTAAGAAGGCACCGTTTTAATGTGTATCTTAATAATGAATCCCCAATGACATAGCTTGAGAATATTAATGAACTTCTCAAAATACCTAAATTATACAAAGTGAGTTATACTTTGACAGCAGGTCTGTTATTTAACATCGTATGAGGAAAATAAAAGTCTTGTTATTACTGACTTAGTAATAGCATGTACTCATTAGGTTATAATCCATAGAATTGAGTTGTAGAAAAATAATGTGATTTAATTTCATAATTTAAAGTTTTGGTTATAACCTTATTTAAATACACAGACATTTCCTTGTGCAGGTCTAAATTATGTCTGTCTGACTCATATGTGTCCAAATGGCCACCAGGAAGAATTCGATTCAGACAGCATGGGAGCTCCCTTCTGGCTTCACGTGGATTCCTTGCTTCCTTTTAGCACTTGGCTACAGCCCCTGCCCCAGTCCCTCTCCTTCGCAACTTACCAGGCCTATGGAGTCAGGTACGATTGGCTAGGGTGAAGAGAATGACAGCAGTGCAGGTGGCCCTCTCACCTCTGGTGTCACCAATGGTCTTTTTCCTGTTTCAGAAGTAAGTAGAAAAAGCAGATAATCCCTTTTTGGGGGCGGGGGGGTGGCACTGGGATTCAAACTCAGGGCCTTACACTTGCTAGGCAGGTGCTCTACCAGTTAAGCCACACCACTAGCCCTTCTTTTGTGTATATGGTGAGTAGTTCTTTGGGTTTTTTGTTTGTTTGTTTATTCATATGTGCATACAATGTTTGGGTCATTTCTCCTCCCTACCTCCAGCCCCCTCCTCCCTGCCCCCCCCACTCCCCCCCCACCCCGTTGAGTAGTTTTGAGATGGATCTCGCTTTCATTTTGCCCAGGCTGGCTTTAAACCACGATCTTCCTGCTACCTGCCTCCCTGAGTAGCTAGGATTACAGGTGTGAGCCACTGGTGGCTGGCCTTACGATCACTTCTAAGAAACTTAGTAAGCCCTTAGAAGATGATTTCTCAAACTCAGTATCAGCATTTATTGTGGGAGGCTGTCTTCTAGGGTCTTCAGCAGCATCCTATGTGTCATCGCACCCTTCTAACCCCTTCCCCTGTGACAATGCCCAAACATCTCCAGACATTTGGGAGAGGGGTGGGGACTCAATTCACCCTCTGAGGAGAGCCACTGCCTTACAACATGTAGGTTTTACTTTTAGGACAGGATTGGGGGAAAGGCTTTGAAATGATCACTGTTAGAAGCAGCATGTGTCACTGGAAAAAGCACATGACTTGAAGAGAATAGACCTAGGGTTGAACTGCTTGCAGAGAAGCAAATCCTGCAGGACTGTGTTAACAGCACTGCTGGCCTTCACTCCTCCACCCAGTCTGTTAGTACACAGCTCTCTGCTGTCTCCCTTTTCACTTCAGTTGGAAATAACACCAGGTATACTGCTTCATTATCACATGCGTCTTGCTCTGTGGTACCAGGTTTAAGCCAGCTTCACGGTTGCTGGGTAGGTGCTCTGCCACTTGAGTCAAACCTCCATCCTGTGATCTCTGCCTGCTGCATAGCTGATATTACAGGTGTGTGCCACCACATCTAGCTTCTTTCTTTGAGATAGGGTCTTGCTAGCTTTTTGCTCAGGCTGGCCTCAAACCCCAATCGTCCTATCTCTGCCTCCCAAGCAGCTGGGATTGTAGGTGAAAGCCACTGCACTTGGCTTCTTTGTGCATCTTTTTTTCTTCCTCTCCCTCTATGTGTACCTTTTAACACGGATGTTGTGTTCAAAAACTATGGTTAAGTATACCTGTAATAACTTACTATTTAACTAGTTTTCATTGTGCAATTCTGTTAAATGCATTCATACTGTAACAATCATCAGTACCATCCATCTCCATCACTCCATCTTTTCCAGTTGGAACTGTGCCCATTAATAACTCCCCCTTGTCCCTTCTCCTAGCCCTGTAACCACTGTTCTGCTCTCTTTGAATCTGACTGCTGTGGGGTCACACATACTTCACTTACAATGTCTTCAAGGTTCATGTGGCATGACTCAATCTTTAATGCTGGATAATGCTCCATCCTGTGTATTACATTTTGTTCATTCACCTGTCGATGGGCAGTTGGGTTGTGTCAAACATT